CAGAAAGGCTTCCACCCAGATTTTAGAAGGAGTCCAAGTAGTGCCCTTGAGAGGACAGGGCATGAAACTGTTAAAGTGAAGCAGACAGTGAAGTGGAGACCCTCTAGAGCTGGAGAAGCCAGGAATGTAGGCTGGCTGAAGAAAGTCACAGACAGTGAGCAAAGCCAGCCCAGAGACATAGCATGGAAGCTGTAGCATTTGGTAACACAGTGGCAGGCTGCTCAAACCATTTGGAGTTCATGTCTCACCATCACTTGCCCTGCATGCTGTACATGTTTCTAGAAGATCTAATGTTTGTCCTGCTGCACTTCAGTATTGTTTTGGTCCCACTGGTTTCTATCTTTCTATTCCTACCTTTTAGAATGAAGATTTTTCACCCTGTGCCATTGTATGTTGGCAGTGTTTAACTTTCCTTTTGGTTTTTATAAGGACTCATAGATGATAGTTTACCTTAAGTCTCAGAAGAAACTTTGCGATTTTTTGCAGTGCTGGAACTATTGAGACTGTGGCCGTTCTTAGAGATGGGCTAAATGCATTCTCATAAAGTGATGTATGTGAGTCGTTTGGGGGCTGCGGCTTATGTCTAGATGTCCTCCGAGATCTCACACACTCATAGATGGAGCTTTAGGAAGGTGATTCAGTTGTAGGGATGATAAAGTTGACTTGCTCTTAGGAGGTCAGGTCTGGTTGTAAGAGGCAAATCACTGGGAACAGGACCTGAAGGATGCACTTCTTTTCCAGGATCTTCCCTTTGCTATTTACTTTCTGGCAGGAACATCTTTTCCTCTACCGTCCCTCTACCACGCCTTTCTGCCTTGGAGCCAGCTGACCGTGAACTGAAACTTTTTAAACATAAGACAAGCTAAACCTCTTCTTCTTTTAAATTGGAGATGCGAGGTATTATGACTGAGCAATGAGAAAGCGACTAAGACAATATTCAGTAGAAATACAAGCAGCAGAAAACGTGTTTCATTGCAGCATTATTTATAGTAGTAAAAACTGTAAACAACCCAAAATATAGTAAAAAAGAGATTTTGTTTGTAAGATCAATAGCTCTTAAGATGCACTTAATCAAAGACTTGCAAAACTATTGCTATAGATTTGATACAGTTTTTCCCCTAAGGATTTATGTCTAATCCCAAATGCGGCAGTATTAAGAGGTGATGAAATCTCAGATGTGGGGTCTACTGAGAAGTATGAATAAGAGATTAGAAATCAATAGAGAATAAAATAGCATACAAGAGATGGTGGTGGGACAACTGGCTGTCTATATGGGAAAAAATATCCCCACCTCAAAATTCAAGTTTAAGGCCTAACTGTAAAAAATTAATCTTTTAATATTTTGGAAGAAATATAAATATACTTACTCTATCAATGTGAAGATAAATTCCTTAAATAGGATAAAAAGTCATGAAACACACAGATAAATGCAAAGACTGGTAAGTTTCATTACATTCAAAGTCACAAACTTCTATAAAATAAAATAAACCACCACATTTAAAATATTACACAGTATGAGAAGATATTTGCAATATATACTCAAGAAAAATAGCATCTGGATTTTTAAAATAAATCATATAAATCAATAATCATTTTGACTATGTTGATAAAACTGGTATCATGCAGGAAGCAGCCAATAAGAAGAGGCTGGGGATTCAGCTCAGTAGCACAAGTGTTTGCCTGACATGCACAAGGTCATAAGTTTGATCCCTGGTATAATAAAAACAAAATCAAAATTTAAAAAAAAACAAAGACTAAAAACAGGATCAAACACTTGAAAGATAAATTTATAGACACAGATGACCTACTAAAACTGAACCAAGAAGGTATATGAAATCTTAGCAGATCAATTACAAGTAATAAGGTTGAAGCAGTAATAAAAAGTCTCCCAACAAAGAAAAGCCCAGACACAGCTAAGTTCACAGCTGAAATTTACCAAACCTTTAATTTAGGCTTACCTAAATTTACTAAAGAACTAACACCAAAGTTCCACAAAGCATTACATGAAATACAGAGGGAAGGAACACTTTCAAGCCAATTCTATGAAATCAACATCATCCTGATGCCAAAACCAGACAAGGACATGACACCAAAAGAAAATATCATACATCATGCTCCAGGCAGTTTCACTCCAGGGATGCAGGGAGTTCAACACACACAAGCAGGCAGAAGCAACATAGGACATACACATTCTGGAGAATAACTAGTCAGTCCTCACGAATCAATAAATGTAATACATAGAAAAATAGAATCAAGGATAAAAACTATATGATCTTCTCAATTGACTCAGAAAAAGTTTCTGACACAATCTGACATGATGAAAACACTAAAGAAACTAGGTATTGAAGGACCGTTCCTCAATACAGTAAAGACATATACGACAAACTCACAGGCAACGTTATTCTGAATGGGGAGAACAAAGCATTTCTTCTCAAATCGAGGCAAAGAAGTACACTGACATCACTCTTATTAAATATAGTTTTTGAGATTTTAGCTAGAGCAATTAGGCAAGAGTAAAAATAAAAGGAATTACAAATAGGAAAGAATGAAGTCAAATTCTCTGTATTTAAAAACAGTATGATCCTATATTTAGGAGATCTTAAAGACTCTATTAAAAGACTTTTACCAGATAAATTTAGGAATGTAGTAGGATATATAATTGACATTAAAAAACCAATAGCTTTGCTATACCCAAAATGGACTAGCAGAGAAAGAAATAAGAAAAACAATACACACACCATAGCTTCAAATAAAATAACTAAGGATCTACCTAACCAAGGAAGTAAAGGACCTCTGCAATGAAAATTATGGAACACTGAAGAGAGAAATAGAAGAAAAGACCAAAAGATGGAAAGATCTTCCATGTTCATTGCCTGAGCGAATCAGATTGTCGAAATGGCCGTATTACCAAAAGCAACCTACAGATTCAATACAATCACCATCAAAATACTAATGACATTCTTCATTGAACTAGAAGTACAGTCCTACAACTCATAATGGAAACACAAAAGACCAAAAATAGCAAAGTGAATTCTAAGCAAAAAAGCAAGGCCAAAGGTATCAAAACCTTCAGGTTATATTATAAAGTCACAGTAACAAAACAGCTGGGTACCAGCACAAAACAGGCATGTAGACAATTGTTCCAAAATAGAGGCTAGAAACCAACTCACCCACCTAAAGTCATCCGATACTGGACAAAGGATCCACAAATATATGTTGGTGAAAAGATACTCCTTTTAACAAATAATGTTGAGAAAACGAACACTTCCAGAAGACTGAAACTGGCTCCAGTCTCTCACCTTGTATAAACTGCAGTGAAAATGGATCAGGAACCTAGGTGTTAGAACTAACACCTTCCTGAATAGGATTCTAAAACAGAGAAAATATTAGTAAGAATCAACAAGTGAGATTATGTTAAACTGAAATTTCTGCACAGGAAGGGAAACAACCAGGAGGCTGAGGAGACAGCTAACAGAACAGGAGGAAAATCTCAACCTTCTCTTCTGACAGAAGATTAACACCTAGAATATACAAATAACTCAAAGAGGTTAGCACCAAAAAATCAAATGGCCCAATCAATAAACGGGCAAATGAACTGGACATACTCTTCTCAAAAGAAGTATCAATGGCCAACAAGCATATTTAAAAAAATGTTCAACATCTTTAGCATTAAGGAAACGCACATCAAAGCATTTGAAATTCCATCACACTCAGTCAGAATGGCTATTACCAAGAATACAAAAAATAATAAATGCTGGCAAGGATGCAGGAAAGAAAAACCCTTCTGCTTGTTGGAATGTAAATTAGTACAGGCACTATAGAAATCAGTGTAGGGTTCCTCAAAAAGCTAAACATAAAGGTACCATTTGCTCCAGTGATACCATTTCTTGGTATATAGCCATAGCGGTTGAAGCCAGCATACTATTGCGATACTTGCATACCCATGTTTATTGCATCATGATTCGTAACAGCCAAGACACTGAAACAGCTCAGATACCCATCAACAGATGAATGGAAAAAGTGCTATATACACAAAATGGCATATTATTCAGTCACAGGAGAACAAAATTCTCTCATCTGCAAGAAAATAGAAAGATCTGGAGCCCATCACGTTGAGTAAAATAAGCCAGGTTCAGAAAGACAAATATCCTGTGTTCTCCTTAATATGTGGAATTTAAGAAAGATGAGAACAAATTAGAAAGGAAACTATTATTAGATAAGGCAGGAATAAGGCTATGTGTGTAGCTGTGGACACTAGGGAGCAGATGAGCAGTATATATTGTATGCCATGGATCCCCTCATGTAAAACTAGGACGGAAGAGGGTCAGGAGGTAATGAAAGGTACAAGCGATAGACGTATGTTATAGCATGCACAAGCCTGCCAAACTGTGACTCAAAACTCTATGTAACTAATAAAAGGAAAACAGAAAAGGCAAAATATCCAAAATTTTTACACTGAAAACTAAAAAAACTTCTGACAAAACATAAAAGTCTCTAAATAAATGTAGAAGCATTCTGTTTTCAAACAAATGATGAAAAGACTTATTGTTAATTGAAGAATGAAAAAGAATAACCTTCAATTAAAAAGTGCTCTGACACTCTAAAGTTGTATGTCATTTGTATTTTGACAGATATAAGCAAGCAAATAAAAATGAAGAAGCTCAAAGAGTCAACAAACAAGGGAAAACACACTCACCTTCCTTGATTCTGTTTTTCCCTACTTTTTACCCCTCCACTTTTCTCTCTTCCCTATTCTCTCCTTTCCTCATTTCCTTTCTTTCTTCCTTCAGTCTTGAAGCTAATATTTAAAAATGTTAACAACTATTAATACTGATTAATAGACTATGTATCTTATTCTTGTACTTCAATATATTTTGTCAATTTCTTTCTTTTTCCCTGGAATCCCAGGTTTCCACATACTGGATACATGCTAGACCACTGAGCTGTATCCCCAACCCTATCTTTTTAATTTCTTTGGAAAAAAATACAAACATGATTACCTTTTCCTCCCTTACAGTGAATTGCAACAACATTGTCCTTATCTTGAGCCATCCATTCATCTACTTCCTTGGAGAACAACAACATCTCCCTGATTTCAAATACAAGATTTTTAGTTGAATGTAAATATTTCCAAAAACTCAAGCCCAGTGTATTTAGCCCTCTTCTGATAGTCAAGGTAGCATAAAACTTACTTCAGAGTAGGGACATTGTGATCATCAATTTTGATTCGATGGACCCTATAATGAAAGTACTTAGGATCATAAGCTCTTTCACCTTAAAGAAATAATACAGATGTTATAGCGCTGTGCCTAAAAATATAGCAAGTGAAGTTATATCTGAGTTAAAAATGTCTACTAGAAATTCCTTATCCATCTTCAAAAGGAGCTTTCTGAGACAAAATCTGCTGCTCTAAAGCAATCATAAGAGTCTCAAAAACGTAAGGCTAGCAGTGGTTTGTCTACTCAGGTAAAATGACTCAGCTTTGCCGGGTAGGCATCATGATCACGTTTCACTTTCCAGCAGACTGCTCATGACACCACTGTAGGGTAGTGAGAAGCCATGGAGCAAAAGCAAATGTAGCTGACCAAAATGATCACCCTCTGAAAACACCTGCTCCATAGACCAGCTGAGGGGAAAAAACAAAATGGGGGGAGAATCTGTTTTCTACAGAGTTTGTTATTGCCTTTTTTTTCTTTTTTTTTTTTGGCAACAAATGCCCTGCTGTTATCACAACCCGTTCTTATGAGGTTAGAGGACATGTTGGTTGAGTTGTGTGTGTCCTCAACATAGTCTGGTACAAAGACCTAATACCATTAGAAATATTTCCCTAAACCTAATACCATCAGAGCGGCTCTTCCTTAAATGGTTCAACTTCCTCTCCCTCCCCACTTTGGTCCCTCCCTTCCTGCCCCGCATAGGGAACTTTGTGGTGGTGAGGTAACTTTTGCTACCAAACAGAAGCAGCAGAAAATGTGACTTTGATGTAACTCTCTACTTTTAAATACTTATGATTAAAAGAAATGTAAAAGCAGAAGCATCTTATTACTATGCAACCTGTTTTCTATATAATAGAAAAACACTGAGCTATGTACATACTGCACAGATTATAGACTTGATAATGATCTGGATGCTTGGTATCTAGGAACCGCGCGACTTCCTAAAAGAGAGACAGGTATGTTACAGACTCAACATAACCCAGGTGTAGTTTTGGAATTACTAAGAGTAATCTAAGATACTTACTACTTTTATTCAGTTGTATTTCATTGGCACTTTTTGGGGATATTCAGGCAACATGAATGAGGGTATGTTCATGCCACATAATATATAACTAACTGATGGTTTTCAAATAGCCCACAAAGTGGGTTTGGCTATACAGACTAGCTTTACTATAAACATATATTGTTTAAATCTACCAGAGAAGGCAATTAGTTGGTTAACTAGTTACATTTCTTCCAGATCATTAATTCACAGATGTAATATAGGGTTGATATTTAAATCTAGTCTTAATAAATGACAATTATGATTATAATCTACCTAAGTACTATACAAATAAACATACAAAAATAATTACATATAATATGCATGACATAAAAAGACAAATTATATCAGGTTTTAGATAAATGATGGCAATATGAAAACTTTTTGGCTCATCTGTATTTTCTTAAGCTTAAAAATGAATATATACATAAATGTGTATATATACACATATATGAAAAAATTTAAAGTCAGAAACATGTTATTATTTTGTTTTGTTTTTTGAGATAGGGTCTCACTGTGTAGCTCAGATTGACCTTGAACTAATGGAAATCCTCCTGACTCAGCCTCCTGAGTGCTGGAATTCTAGGCATGCATTATCAGGTACAGTTAAAACATGTTAGTACTTAAACAGTTAATACATTTAGTACTACCATACAAAATCTAACAACGTTTCTCACATGCACTTAAAACACATGCACATATCTCTGTGCAGTAAGAAAAATGACTGTCATAAAATTTAAAAACTGACTAGTATATTACTATCAGAACATGTTTACTGGCTAGTCAGAAAAAAAGATATCAAAACAATCAGTATATACACTGAACTCAAAAGATCAACACTCTGAATCTGACAGAATGGAAGAGAAAGGAATAGTCTTAATGGTTTAAAAACTCATGGGATATCACACACTAAAACAAAATCCAGGCAAGTTGAGAAGTCAAATATAAAAACCCACAAATATCTCCAAGATATGTAAGTGGATATTAACTCTTTGGATGAGGAATAACTAAGTGGTGAGTCAACAGAGCGTCAATAGGTTTAGGTGTGAGTTCATAGAAAACTGAAACTTCTATTTTAAAAACACCACAATATACAAACAACAGAGGAAAAGATTTTTCAGTAAAACGGACTGAACAGGGGCTGGGGATTTGGCTCAGTGGTGCAGTATCCGCCTGGCAAGTTGAAGTCCTGAATTCTATTCCTGGTATCCACCTCCCCCCAAAAATTGACCGAATGGAGATGGCCAATTGTAATAAATTAATAACTTATTATCAATAATTTAACTAATACTCTTTCTCCCTATAGATAAGTAGGCCAGGGACATAAATAACCCACAAAAGAAAATTCAACTGAGTATCTATCTATATATAGATAAACATTCAGTTTTGCCAGTAAAGAAGTCAAAACAACAACGAAGTACCATTTGCACTCATGAAATTGGCCTTTTCATTTTAACTGATAAAATTTGGTGCTGGCAGATATGGCATGAAAGTAAAACCTTTAATTTATTGTGGACACAATCCTTAGGGTCTAGCAGTATATATTAATAACAGTTATATAGTCCTACTTTTTAACCAGGTAATTTCATGTCTAGGAATCTATCCAAAAAACCCCCTTAAGCTCAAAGATGTTTTTTGCTGTGTTGTTGTCAGTAGTGATGCCAAATATTGAACAGGAGAGGTTAATTGCAAGACAAAGTGAAATATGCAATGTTAGAATACCGTCTTGACATCTGTTCTCTCAACAAATAAACATTTCACACTGGGAAATTGATGTGCAGCTTTTAAAAATATTCCTATGCATAAGAACAGTCAGTATATTTTTATTCATGGAAGAATTAATATATCTGGTCAGTTAAATTTCAGGGATTTTAAAAAATCACCTTCCTATTTCTCTGTGCCTGAAAATAATCTTAAGAATTTGATTTTTCTGCATGAGTCTACCCTGTATTTTCTAATCTAAGTATTTACTCCAAAATATTTTCTAACCAAATTAACTTAAAAGGGACAAAAAAGATCTAGAGAAAAATCCAACTTTCATCAAGCATCTACAATGGTCGCTATCTGTTACCAGATGGAAAGTTTTTGTCCTCAGCCAAAACAGAGTATCAGTTGTGCTAAGGCCAAAAAATTAAAAGATGACTTAGCATATTTAGGATTCCAGGTAGGGCATAACTGTTTTTTCTCTGTAGCTCAGCTTACTATGTGTACAATGCCTAAAAGTCTTCCATGGGATACAACAGTGAGAAATACTTTCTACTCTTTGAAAGACTTCTTGCAACATTTACCTTTGGCTTTTCCCAAATCTTGGGAAAAGCACCTTTTCTTTTTGGTTTCCTGTTTCCTTTCCCTTTCTTCTTCTTCCTCCTCCTCCTCCTTCTCCCTCCCTGCTTCCTTTCTTCTTTCTTTCTTGATAGGATCTTGCTAAATTGCCCAGCCTAACTTTAAGCTTGCCATCTTCCTACTCCAATCCCCTAAACTGCTAGGATTACAGTTATGAACCACAACCATATAATTATGCTTTTACTGAGGTGTAACAGCTACTGTAAACTGCACTAACTTATGCATGCACATAGATACTAACTTCTCAGATGATGACTGAGTTGGAATTTCATAGTAAACAGCATTGCATGTTTGAAATTAGCCACAGGGCTTAAAGAAGTATTATTCCACTATAATGTAGATGTCAATCTAAGTACATTTTAGTTATAGCAGTTTCTTCTCCTTCATAGATTTTAAAATATGGCCATGATGCTTTATGTTTCCTCCCATCAAGAAATTGACTCTATTTTCTTGTTGAATCCAGATAGGCTTCATAATCTATTTTGTCCAACAGAGTGAGCTAGATACCACGTTAAATTATACTAGTTTTGAGCCTGGGTCTAAATTATTTTCCTTGCATTCCTGGAATCCTTGCTACTGCAACTGTGTGAAGAGCGCTAAGCTAGCCTCTCTTGGAAGAGAGACGTTATACAGAGCCATCTAGTCAAGCCATTTTAGACCAGCCGGACTGCAGAGGACCCAGTAACTACCCACAGACACCTGAGTGAGCCCAAGCGAGAAAGCCAATCCTGCTCCTGATCACTAGTAACAACCAGTTAAGGCCAATCTAAAGTCAAAAACTACAGTATCGTGAGCTAAATAAATGGGCTGACAGGTGTGCTACATTACATCCAGCTTGAATATCCTTACCTTAATTGGATTCCGATACAAAGTGCGCCTCCCAGAAGATGGAAATGACATGGCAATGATCCTATCTGGAAGTAAAGTTATCAGTTTTACAAATGTCACTGTAGATGTGAAGCAACATATAGACATCTACATATAATCAGACTTCTTTTGCATAAAAAAGAACTTTTAAGATAGAAGTTAGAAGAAAAATGCTAATTTTCAGGATAATCAAGATAATATATTAAATTACCCAATACAGTGACCATTAAATTGCTATACTCCTAAGATTCTATTGGTTCTAGCCATATTAACAGACTTGTGTGGCTCTCAGTTTACAGCTCCTCTGATTTTAAAAATTTTTAATATCTTAAACACCAAATAAAAATCAAGAAGTCTGCATCAGTGATGGAATCACTGAGAGCTTCCCAGCTCTCTTGACTCCAAAAACTTTAGACCTTCAGAGCATTGACCTCATTATCTGGGGTGTTAGGAAAAGAAGCCCTTCTCAGATACCTGGGACCCAGGATATCTACCAGAACTCAATATACTCTAAAGCAAATCATAACGGGGTCAATTGCAAATCTGTTCCACTTCTTCAGTGAATCCAAATAACTCTGATTTGAAATACATGAGTTTTGCCATCTCCAGGCCTAAACTACAAATATATCACACCACCACAGCAGCACATCTCTCTATGGATATTTTGAAATACGATGGCTTGGACAAGGCAAAACCAAAAGAAAATATTACTTACAAGTGAAATATGAAATGAAAGTAAGTAAATCAACAGTTACGTTCACAAACCAGTAATGTAAGTGAGGTCCAGGTCAAATCCATCCTTTTGGTATCGCCTTTTGTTTTCTGAAACCTAGGAGTTTAAAACAATCATTGATTAGTAAAACATATGTTAAGCATGTGAATAAAGGACAACATATTATGGAAATATCCTTGCAGTATTTCCCAAAACAAAACAAAAAAAAGTATGGTTCTGCCACTCACCAGCCATCTAGTCAGCTTTTCAAGATGTCTTTTTTGATAAGCCAGAAAAAAAAGTCTCATCACAATGACAAATCGCAGAACTTGAAATAAAATTGTCAACCTAAATAAATTCAAGATGCCCATTTGCTTCAGGAACATAAGATTATGTCAGTATAGGTTAAATTTAATCTCTCCCTCTCCCCCCTCCCCCTTCCCTCCCCTCCTCCTCCCTTCTCCCAACCCTTCCCCTCCTCCTTCCCCTCCCTCTCCCCAAATCTAGGGTTTCCTGTATGCTAAACGAACACTGGACTCCTGAGTTGTACCTCCAGCCCTAGACCAAGTTTAGAGCAACCGTTCTTAGCCAGAAGCAAATTTGTATCACCTCCATCCTGCCAACCACCTAGGGGGATACCTGGCAATGTTTGGAGACAATTTTGGGTGTCACAACCACTGAGCACATGTGGGTGCTGCTCACATGTAGTTGACAGAAGTCAGAAATGCTGCTAAGCTCCTATAATGACTAAAACCTTATGCTTTTTTATGGCAAACTACCTGGCCTAAAATGTCAACTATGCTACGGCATAGTTGAGAAATTTCTGTTCTAAAGAAATAATAAATAGACTCTTGTACCAGTAACTTGTACCTTTACGTTTGGTGGTTTAAGACCAGCATTTTCATCACCCCACCCCAATAAAAACCAACTAAGGGCTCCTGTTCACCTGTACTACTCCCATCAGAAACAGTGGTTCACTAAATCTGACAGGCAATAGACTGAGTTACTTTCAAATTATGCTGTTTAGTATGCTCCTATCAGAAACATCGTAACATGTGGACTAGTGCGTCTCTAATTTGAGCTGGCATAAACAAATGTCTGGTAGAGTTTGTTAAACTGCAGGTTTGGAGGTCCCAGAGATACTAATTCAGCATAGCTTGAGGTGGTTGTGTGTGTGTGTGTGTGTGTGTCTTGCAATCTCTCAAAGGATGCTGGGGTTGCCTTGAAGGACCATATTGACTCAGGTTAGTTTTAAACTCCAAATCCTATACTACTTAAAATATTTTGTGAGGTCCTAAATTGAAGCATTCGATAGTTACATAAAGAACCTAGTTATCTGACTAATGAAAAAGAATAGCAAGACCCCACCATCCACATATGAATAGCATTCATTGTTGTTTTCCTTGTTGCCGAGAGAGAGAGAGAGAGAGAGAGAGAGAGAGAGAGAGAGAGAGAGAGAAACAGAGACAGAGACAGAGAGCCATCATTCACACACATTTTACGTTCCTCACAATTCAAACTTTCCCTAAGCTGTCCTCACTTTCAACACAATTATACTGCAAAACTAACTTCCTCTGTGTTACTGTCTAAGTCCCCTTTTGTTTTCCTGCTCTGTTTGCTACTTTTTTGAGGATCAGGATTGTAGAGCCAGTCACTCACATTTTGCATAAGCTTGTATCAATATTCTCTTAGTTATAGGAAACCTTTAGGTAGAACATCACAAGGAATTTGTGGCTGAATCACAAATGGAAATTTAGGAGGGATGTTAGACTGTAATGAAGTTAAAATTAGTACAAGAAGCCAACTCTCCAATTTTTTCTTTGGGTGCTCCATGTTCTTTATTCAACTAAAGATATATAGAGTCTATAGTCTTCACATACCTGCACAAAATTATCTATTCATTTGAAAGTATGTGGAAATTTACTTAAACATTGTGTTTTGAAACATCTTGTCACAGAATGAAAACACTTAAATGCAAAACAAAAAAGAAAGAAAGAAAATAGGTAGAATTTTGAGAAGTCATATGTTTCATACCTGGGGAAAAGACTAACAAACATCATGTCATGAAAAAAGCAAATGATGTCCACCAGCAGAATGACCCCAGTAAGGACTGCATTCAAGACATTAAGTACATTTGAAAAATAATGCTGTTTCCTACAATATAACATAAAAATACGTTTATCCTCACAAAAAGGAAATAGGAATATTTTAAGAGCACAAGTTGACTCATATTCATTAAGAATTCTATGTTAACATAACTTTAACTTTTAACATAATTTTAAATGCTAGACTAGAAAAAGGGAAAAGATATTGATGGAACCTTTTCAAGCAATCAATTTACATTTTATGGATATGTGTGAAGAAGTATCATGACAATTTAAGCTCAGTAAGAAATATAAGCAACCCACTAACTAGAGGTAAGCATTGCCTTCTCTCATGGGACAAAAAAGAGGTAGGGTGCTGGGCAGTACTACTGGGCAATGAAATGGGAACACGTCACAGTGCTAGAGCACTAGGGTTGTGAAGCATGTCCAGGAGCCCACCAGAGAAGAGACCCAGTATTTTGAACTCATACACCGGTACTGCACCTACTTTGGTTACCAGTGGGCTGCAGTGCCCGCCCCAAGACAAGAACAGACTTCTGAAGCTCACCACTGCTTCCTCCCCAGCACTGACTCCGTCAGACCTGAGCACTAGAGCTCCAGAGCTCTGATCTGGGGTAGACTCTTACAAGCTCTTATAACCTGATAGGGAGCAACTCTCCTTAGCCCAAAGTCAGGGGGATAAAAGACATCAGGAAAAGAGAGAAATTGCTGTTTTTAATGTTTTAGAAAAATGAGCCTGGAGAACTTGGTCCTTGACTTCCACAGCAGACCAGTGTCAAGGTTTGGCTCACCCAGCCACCCACCCTCCCACCCAGCTTCTCAGAAAACCAGGAAGCAGAGAAAATGAACTCTGTTGTACTATCAGGTCTCACAGATGGGTTGAGCATATCTCAGATATCTTTCCAATCATAACAGAAGTTTTTATTTTAATATAGAGGTTATTCATGATACATTTATTCATGATACATATTCATGATATATGATATGGGGTTATTTGTGATATATTTAATATATTATCAACTATTTGGGATTTACCTTTGGGGGGGGAATTCAATTCTATGAAAGTATTAATTTTGTATCTCATCACACATATTTATCTTACTAATGTACTTGTAGACACATCAACTGCCTGATCACTTTTTTTAAAAAAATCTCTTCAAGGTTTACTGACAGCACCATCTAAAATACATTTTTGAATTATTTAGTTATTCTTTATGATTTTTTTAATTAAGAGGAAAAATCAAAAAAATTAGCAGGATATATTATAGTAACTTATTTGATTTCCTATTAATTTGATTTGAAGTCCTGTAATACTCCCACTATCTTGTTTTGACTGATTAGACTCTGTTCCGTTCTGTATGACTGTATCAATTTTGAAGGTATAGGCAACTACTTTGAAGGCAATAAGATTCACTATGATGCCCATTCTGGTTTGACTATTATCTTCTTTGGAAGTCCTGTAGTGTTTACAAGGTTTAGGTTTTATGGGTCTTGTTCTCTACTGTTTTGTTCAACTTTATAATACCTAATGAGATAGACAATTCTTTTTAAGGAAGCAAGAGGCATTATGGTAACCATTGTCGATAACCTTGTACTTTGTTTTTACATCATATGCTATGTCTATCCTTGGTTTTGACTGACAGCTTTGTTTCGCCATATTTGACTATATTCTCTTCCAAAAAAAAAGAGAAAAGTAGTAAGAACTAAGGAGTAATAAAACCCAAAATGTGTAAATTTTGTTGTAAAAAAGAGAGGGAAAAAAAAGTGCTCTAAAGGATACAACAGCAAGTGTGTTTAGGGGTGTTAAATAGCTGACCATATTAATGTTTTTGGTTGGATCATTGAACACAACTGTTTGCAGTCTCACTGTTTGAATGTCCACTTTGTATGCTTTGATACTGTGACTTGAACAACTGTCACTAGGATGATAATTGTAATCTATTAACTGGTGATTTCTTACTGTTGGTTTTTTTTTGTTTGTTTGTTTTGCTTTGTTTTTTTTTTTTTTGTAGTTCTGTATTAATTGTACCCTTACACTGCTTTGTTTTGTTTTTTCTCTTTTTCCTTTTAAATAAAATTTTAAAAAATAAAATAAAATACATTTTTGAAGAATGAAGTACCAGTTGCAACTGTAACACTATTAAAATCCAATTTGTGAAAAACTGGGTTTGGATTGTTGTTTCTCAGTGGAGTGGAGTGGAGTGGAGTGGAGTGGAGTGGAGTGGAGTGCCTACAAGGAGTATTATTTTGATAAAGAGGGACACATTTCATTGAGGTAATCTGCTAATTATTTTGGGATGTTTCTTATGAGAGCACAATATAACTTTATGCTTAAAAAAAATCAAGCTTACCCTTGTATATACACTTGAAGAAGAACATCCATGAGAAAAAATAAACCAATAGCTAAAGAAATTGAGTGACATTCCAAAAAAAAATAGTCTCTGACTTCAGTGACAAATAGTTCTGTAATGACGAGAGACAAGTCCACAAAGATCAACAAAATTCCAAATATGCTAAAATAAATAAAGATAATAAAGATAATGTGGGTTTGCCCCCATAGTTAGACAATATTAAGGCAAATAATCAGATACCAAAATTATTTAGGACTAAACTGTCCAGTGATAGAAAGAATTATGTTGCCTGAGAATCTCAAGAAAATTATTCAGTTTTCTCCCAACAAAAGTAGTTACTAGTGAATAAAATTCCTTGTAAAGTATGTTACGGTGCACTCCTAAAGATACATCAGATTAACTCAAAGACAGGAGAAAAAAGTAAGTTAAAATTACTAGTCTCTACATGTAAACTCTCTAAATTTTGAGAACTTCATAAGGAGTTTCTAACATTTTTTCATAATAAATATTTATAATTAATATGATAATTTTTGAGAATTTAGTGATTAAGAATCAAGTGATGGCATGAGTAACATAAACTCTTACAAGATCACTTTGACCAGTAAGACATTTTTTTGTCAGTGAGTTTTTCAATGAACACAGCTCACATATTTATGGGCACTTCTAGCACAGTGATAGGTAGAATAGAAAGAATTCAGTTTTATAAATATTCTTAATTTATAAATAAATATTCTTCCTCTTACATATTCTCAAACATTCACCATAAGTTTATTACACTGTACAATCTATAAAAATGAGCTCATTAGACATTAATTTTTATAATTACAACTCAAATTAGAATATAATTAACTTAAAAGAAAGAAATTTCATTATGTAAATTTGAATCATAATACAAATTCTTACTCTCATGTACAGCAGCAGCCTAAGTAAAATGTTTCTGGAATTAAGGAGTAATTCTAGATATGTAAGCCATTTCATAAAATATTTTACCTATAATTACAGATTCTTAAAATGTATGTTTGATTATTTTTATTTTTAAAGATTAAAAAAATATACTAATGTACAATTACTTAGGCAAATGTCAAAAGTTTGCAAGTTTTAATGTTTGTCTTAAAATTTCAAGATAAATTAGACCACATTTAATGTAAGTACAAAAGTTATTTAGCAACATCTTTATTTTCTAGACCCTCCCATACCTGAATACAGTTGATGTTATAATTAAATATGTAATTTTCTTACTCTTGCTGCTGCAAAAATTAATGAAAATGAAATTAATCACATATTTCCTCTAACGTGTATTATTAATTTAACAAAAAAAAGATTTTTATAAATATAAATTTAAAAGTTAATTTTTCAGAAGTTATATAACAAATTGCCTTTTACTAATAACTAAAATTTTTGTGTTTCTGTCTCATGAGATTTGTTTAGTTTCCTATCTAGAATACATGAGTACAACACAAAATTAGATAAATGTCTAATACCAACTTTAAAGTAATATTAAGCTTGGAATCATCAACTAAAGTAACACAGCATAGAGACAGAAAAAGAGAACCGTGCTGTATTCCAGCTCCAGTTCTTCCATTAAGAAACTGTGGGATTCTGAAACAAGTCATCACTCCATAGCTAGACCTGTTTCCACAGTAATGGAATAAGAAACTTCGGGGATGGAATCAGGGAGTAAATTATTTTCTCATCCTTTAATATTAATCTCTTGAAATTAGATAACCAAGGAACAGGGCAAACATTAATGAGAGTGTCATTTGGGATTGCAAATGCACGTTGAGCATAAGTAATTTCAGTAAGATACTGTTATGGCTTGTGCTTAGATGTACCCCCAAAGCCTCATGAGGTCATAGGTGGGGACGGAGCTACAGTGTGACTGATTCATGGTGCAATGTTAGGATGAAGGTGTTACGATTAAGGATGAATGATTAATCACTCCACTGATTGGTTTGGAACCACTTTAATCCCAGTACTCTGAATATATAGAATATAAAGGGGCAGAAAGTCACTGTTAAGCTCTTCTACTTGCTTTGCTGCTTTCTCCCCACCATAACCTGTGTCTCCTCTGCAATGCCTATTTGCTGTGCCACTCTGCCCTGGGGCCAACCAATTATGGACTGAAACCCCTCTAAACTGTGAGCCAAATAAACCTTTCCTTGCTTTATTTTGTGTTTCAGGTATTTCATCTCAGTAACTAAGTAACTAAGACAGATATAATTGGAAGTAAAAATATCCTAAAGAATGAATTATTTCCATTAATCAAAGGAAAGACAGCCTGTTTGGTAGAGTTTGCAGTAATGCCTCATTTTGCACTATAACTAGAAAGAACATAGTCACTGGAGAGTAATTTTTTGTATTGAACTCTCTAATAGGATCAAAGTTCTACCCTTAGTGAATAGATCCATCACTGGAGAAACGAAAGGATAGGTACTGAGCAGAACCAAGACACTGCCAAAATTGGCCACAAATGAGTGCTGTTAGTGTAACGTGAGGTACAGGGAATCGGTAATTCTTTTCATTTTCCCTTCTTTATTTACGCCTACTACCTCTGCCCAGGCTTGGGGAGCTAAGAGTGATATTCATGACTGGGGGCAACTGGCAAAAGAAGTGAATTGTTTCCGGGGGCTGCTATTCTCTTCATACAAGGCCTTTCTGATCCCACATAGTCTCCAGGTAGCAAGAATACATGAGACTCAATCTGAATTTGCCTGATAAAGTGATATATGAAACCATGCCTGTCACAATCATGGAGGCACAAGAGAGGGTTTAGTATTTTGAATTTTTTGCAATGTCCTCCAAAACTACGCTAAGAATACCATCTTGCCTTCCTTGTAATTTTTTTTAAACAATAAAATTGTACTGTGTGTGATTTTTAAAAAATGTGTTTAGAGTTTGCAGAGTTAACAGTCTCTTGAGAAGCATCGAGGTAAAGTATTGCTAATATTTGGGAGCAACAAACATATTCTCCAACACGTAGCAACTCAAAGCCTGGTAGACACATCCTTTCCTAAAAGCAAAACAATACTCAAGGAAATAGAAATTAACCAAAATAAAGATGTAGAAATGAAGCAAAAGCCTCACAGAGAAAAGATGGTAAATAAAAGGGAATTAGAGCCACATATAAATGAAAAGTGTTAATGTGGCATGAAAAATGTAGTATGTAAAAATGCAAATAAATTATTTTAAATCAAAGTTAAATAATAAATTCTTAATAGTAAAAGAAATAAAATAAATTAATAATAGTATGGATTTGTAAGACTTGTCATACGATTTGGGGTTTACAGTTTGGAAGAAGACAGAAATGAAATCAAATCACATTAGTTATCTTTCAAAATACAAGCTTGGCTTCAATCTCATTTTCTTTTCTTCTTCTTCTTTTTTTTTTGCAGTACTGGGGATCAAACTCATGACCTCATGCTTGCCAGGCAGACACTTATGCCACTGAGCTAAATCCCCAGCCCCCTTACAATCACATTTTCTAAGAATTAAGTAAAAATAGCCTACAAAAGACAAGAAACAGATGTGTAAGTTTTATAACAATAAAAATGAAGGAAATAGTCAATAGGAAAATATAGAAAAATTTGAAGAAAATATGAAGAACATGTTTTAATACAGAAAATAAAGCCAAATGATAAAACCAAACATAAACACATTCTTCCTATATTAATATTAACAGTACTTTCAGATAAGTTTAAAACTAGATTAACTATATGCTATATATGATAAAACTAATTTGAAATGATAATTTGAAAATAAAGAGACTGATAAAGACATGAGGTGCTAAATCTTTAAACATTAAAAGTAGTTCATATTAACATCAAAGCTGATTTCAAAGCAAAAAGATGAAGGCATTTTTGTTGACAGAATGTAGAACCTGTATAATACTAATTCAACCACGCTTAATATAAATCCATATTCAGGACAGGTTGTGTCTCTTCTTTCTCCTGGAAGTGCTGGGGAGCGGAGGTGACCCTAACTCTAAGCACTAAGTGTGCTAGAGAGACTCAGTAGTATTTCTGCTTTTATGAGTGCTCTGACTTTCTCCCAAACTACTGACAACATAAAAGACCATAGCCCTGTGTAGACTCAAAATATTGTGTAGCAATCAAATTTTATTTGTTTTTAATTTTTACTTAAAAAAGGGTAAAACTAAACAGAACAAAGCAGACCAGAAGCAAAACAATATAAGTGACACAGACAGCATTTAAGTTTTAGATCTAACTCCAAGGTTTGTAAAGGAAGTTCTAAAGTATCCAAAAGGGCCTTTTGCCTTTTTGGATTAATCTTCAAGGGATGTTCTTCCCTTGGGAGAACAGTGTTGGTAGCAATGATAAGTCTGAGTATTCATCTATAACTGCTAATGTATATACATATCTATATCTTATACAATATAACAATTATATAATATATATTTCTTGTGCAGAGAACACATTTTTTTTCTAAAAATTTCTAGGAAGTAATCAAAGAAGTTCATCTTGTAATAAAATACAAAACACCTGAATTACTATAAAGTATAAAATAGTGGAGGCTACAATTTCTGGCCACAATGCAATAAACCAGTATATGTGACAAGATATTTAAATGCTTTATTGCTACAGAAATAAAAAAAAGATGCCACATGTGACAATTTAGATCGAACAGAGTTATTGTTTAAAAGATAAAAACTTGTAATGTTCACCCTAGGGGAAAAAAAAGAATCCAAATAGTCCTATATCTTTTTTAAAAACTTAACTTCTAGCTTAACACTCGAAAATAACAACAACAAAAATAAAAACCTAGGTGACTTTATTGGAGAATTCTACCAGTTTTTTCTTTTCCTTTTTTCTTATTATCTTTTTTCTTTTTTGTGGAACTAGAAATTAAATCCAAGGACTTTGCATTGAGCTAAATCCATAGCTCTTTTTATTTTTAATTTTGAGACAGGGTCTCACTAACTCACTAAGTTGCCCAGACTGGGTTCAAACATGCAATACTCCTGGCTCAGCTTCCCAAAACATTGGGATTAGAGGCATGTACCAATCTATCTGCCTCTACCAATTTTTCAAAGAAGAAATAAAACCTATTCTATACAAACTTTTCCAAAAACAGACAAGATGCTATTTCCAAACTTATTTTTAGGAAATTGCATTACTTTGTTTCCCACCAAGTTAATAAAGACAATAAATGACAAGAAAATTGCCAATCTCTCTCATCAATACATGTGTAAAAATCCTTAATAAAAAGGCGACAAATTGAATCTAGCAATATGAAAAGAAATCAAGACCAAATAGAATTTGCCCCAGGAATTTAAGAATGGTTCAGAATTCACAAATCAGTATAACACATCATGTCTATAGACTCAGGAAATCTGGGTACAGTGGCACAAATTTATAATCCTAACTACTTGGGAATCTGAGGAACAAAGATCCCAAATTTGAAGTCAGCTTGGGCAACTTAATGACTGAGGCCTTGTCCCAAAATAAAACTCAAAATAAAGACTGGAGATCATTAGCTCAGTGGTGCAGTTTTTGTCTAGGATATATAAGATCCTGGATTTAATCTAGCATCATAAAAAAATAAAACATCTGAGGAAAATAAAATACATGATCATTACAATAGATGTAAATTAAAATTCAATGTCCATTCATAATAGAGGCTTTCAATGAGCTAGTAATAAAAAGGTGTTTCTTTGATATAACATTTACATAAAGCGATGTCTATTCTTAGTGTTAATGGTAAAAGGCTAAATGTTTGCCCCCAGTAACAAGAATCTAGGGCTGTCAGTTTACACTTCTATTTGAAATTGTACTAGAGTCCTGGGTAATTCAATAAGGCAGGAAAAAGAAATAAAAGACATATAGATAAGAATGGAAGAAACCAAAATCTCTACTTTTGGATGGAATGTTTGTCTACCTAGAAAATCTCAAAGAATCTGAAGAAAGCTAATAGAATTAAAAAGTGAATTTAATAAAGTTATAAGATATCAGTATACAAAATTTGATTATATTTTGACATGCTAAAATTAACAATTAGAAATAGAAATTTGAACAACTGCACTGTTTTTATTAGTGCCAAAATCCATGAAATAATTTGGTATAGATCTAATGAAATGTGTGCAGGATCTGAATGTTGAAAATTATAAAATACCCTGAAAGAAAACAAATATTTAAAGAGATGTACCATGTACACAAAAAGTCTCAGTATTGTTAAGATGGCAAGTCATCTAACCTTGAGTTCTGATTTTAAAACTCATGAAAAAGCTAAATAATCCATACAGTATGATAAAGAAAAAAGAATGACACATAAATCAAGGGAATAGAGAGTTTATGAGTAGACTTTCATAATGTGGTCAACTGATTTTCAGCCAAAGTGTGAAGGCAGTTTGATAGAGAAGAGATTTCTTACAAGAAATTTTAGTGGGGTTATTGGACACCCACATGCAAAATGAGTACTTCTCAACTGTGTCACCAAGAACACACACACATTACATACAATGGGTTCATGTACCTGAATATAAAACCCAAAACTATTAAAAGTCTAGAAGAAAACAGGAAAAAACCACGCGCTAGACAAATCTTTCTTAGAAAGGACATCCAAAACACATTCTATGAAAGAAAAAATAGAATAAACAAAATAGATAAACCAATAGCCAATCTTTTCCCAAAAGAAGAAAAGAACCAAACTAATGAAATAGAAATAAAAAAGACAAAATGGCAACACATGCCATGAAAATCCAGATTAGTAGACTTTGAAAAGCTGTATTCCCATAAATTAGAGAATCCAGAAAAAATAAATTCTTAGCTACATTCGAATTACCAAAATTGAACCAAGAAAATATAGTGACCCTATAACAAACCAATAACAAGCAAGGAAACTGAAACAGTAATAAACACACCAACTAAGAAA